GCAAATCTGCTTTTTATCCTTCTTGGCCACATGTTCATCAACAAGGCCTTATTTATACTGAGGTTTTTTCCTGAATCAATTTTACTATTCCCTAGCCCTGACAAGAATCGTCAGCGCTAGCACTGATGAAAGCACTACTGTAAATAGCCTTCCATATTTTTACCTCAGACTTTTCCACATCTGATGTGAAAAGAGTAATACAACTGCTTTGGGGAAGTCGCCCATAATGCTCCTACCACTGCAGTTACTGAGGCTGATGATGTAAACAAAAAGGTTTTTGTTTCTGTTGTAATAATTAATTCTGTTGAAATAATTTAAAGAATTTTGTGCAAGTACTTGGTGCAGGCAAAACCCGTAGACTGAAGCAAAGGTGAGGCCAGAAGTTCTGGCTTTCTCTTGAAGAAAGATGTATTAAGAATTGGGAAGAATAATAAAGGATTCTCTCAGAATATTCTCTGAAGTGCTCCATGTTTCAGGTGGTTTATAAAGGAGAAGGGACTGGAGTTTAGGAAGAGATGAGCTCAATGGCGTTGTTAAGTCCAGAGTAGGCAGCTGAAATGCTGATCAGTCTGTGAGTTTATTTGTAAACATTTTTATGCATCCTTGTGTGCCAGGGAAGGAGAGAGCTGCTTTATTGGCTCTTTCCTAGACAACCCTATAGGAGCTATGGGAGCTGCAGTTTCCTTGTGCACCCATTTGCAATGAAGTATTTGTGTAGAGCAATGATTGCCTACAATCTGTTTACAGAAATATGACAATTAGGTTAATAACAATATGCAATCTAAAGAACAAAAAAAAAGGTTCAGAGCTCAGAATAAGGGATTTTTACCTCTGTTAACTGGATAATATATTCTTCCCCTTACAGCTTCTTGCCATTAGTTCATAGCTTTGGTGAAAAATGAGGCTTTAGATAGTTCAGTTTTCTGCATCAGTGTAGCTGTATACGGGCATGAAGTCATTCATGGCAGACAAAGACAGAATGTGTCTATAATGCCATGTAAATGAATTTTAAAAAGGCAAAAAGAAAAAATCTGATTCTTTAGTAGGGAAGAAGTGTGCTGAATTGCATTACAATCTATATGCATACGTATAGTCAGCATCTGGCACAAGGAGGCCAGGATTTTTAAAAGTGCAGAGTGAGCCTTTTCAGGGTCCCTGCAGTCTGAATAGAAACCCACACATCCTTATTATTTGCATATGGCCCCATTATGCTCTGGAATTCACAGAAGTCTATTCCACACTGGGAAACAGATTTTTTTTTTTTTTTCCTGATGGAAATTATTGTTCCTCAGAGTAGCTAGAAGTTACTTGGCACATAATGTACTAAGCTATATTTTGCTTTCTTCTCTAGAATATCATAATTATTTTTTTCCTCTCTGTTCTTTTAATCCTACAGCTTACATCCTCTTTGTGTTTCTAAAGGAATATGATCAGTTTGATAGTCATCTTCTGCTATGAAGTGATCTATCTCCATATAACAGGTAAAAAGCCTCTATTGCTAACTGAGCTTTTCAGACGGGTTTTATAATAAGATTTTGAAGCCTTTTTCTCCTTGAGTCTTAATTGTCTGAAAATATTACACTTAAAAGCTCTATTTTTCAACAGAAATAAGACGTAAATATTGATTTATCTTTTTAAAATGTAATTATCGGCTCTGCCACAAAAAGCCTTGCAATGTAGCTTTAATGATATTGTTGGTTCCTTAATACAGTTTCAGTTAGCAGCACTAGAGAAAATTTAGATAACGTACGTACGGGAATAAAATATTTTCATCTCAAAGACAAAAAAGGAGGAATCAGTCTGGAACAGATACAGAAAAGCTGGTCCTGCTGCCCACAGTTTGTCTGCAAGATGTTGTATCTGAGCACCATATTAACAACACATGATGTTGGTTAAGGGAAACTGAGAGTTAATTAGGTTTAGAGGGGAAGGTCGAGAGACTTCTCGAAAGAGAAAAGTGCATGGAGAATAGTTCCTCACGCTTTTTAAAGATGTGTATCAGCTAATGAAATATCAGAACTACAGCACTTGCAGGCATCAAATGCATTCATTGAAACACTCCATGATTAGTCACACAGTACAGGTAGTGCTATATGACATGATGCCACGGTGTGGAAAGCCTTTAGCTCTCTGCAGTGACTCTGATAAAAGCCAAAATATTAAATTGTGTGGCTTCTAGGTTTCCAGGGATATCACACTCAAACACAAGGGAATATTACTTAGGTAAAAAGCCGGGAAGCATTCCTAAAAATATGTATATAGCACCATCTACTGACGTTGTGAGTCTTTGCAGGAGAATGTTTTTAAACCAGAACACCTATGCATTACAATAGGGCAGCAGTTTTCCCCTAATTGGTGCAGGATCAGTCCCTCTTTCTGCTTTTTTTCTCTGTAAACTCAGATTAATTACAATCCCTGCCTCAAGAGTTTAGCAGCTAAAAAATGAGATAAAATAAAGCGCAGTAGCCGGAAAGAAAAAATGAGGAAAACAGGGAGGAAAAAATGAGACAAAAGATGAGTAGCCAAGTGAATCAGAGCATGTCATGGGGCAAAAGTGAGGTGTTGCTGGTAAAGGGAGTAATTTCTTAAGATGTCATTTGAAAGTCCCACGACTTTCCTTTCTTCTGGCTTCAAACTTCTGCATCCTCCTCAGAGCCAGTGCAACTCACTGTCAAAACACTTCTCCCTTCATTCATCCCGTGTAGTTTGTCTGCTGGCGTGACAGACTGACTGGAGTCAGGGCCTGCTGAAGACCAGAGCTGGTGTAAAGTAGACAGCCAGGTGTGTGAAGAAGGATAAGAGGAATGTGATGGTACCAAAGGGCTGTAAAGACTGTGTCAGTTACAATATGCAATTTCATTCTTGCTGGGTTATATTTAGTTCAATTGACCTAGCTTATTATTGTTAGGTGGACATCAAGGTCAGCGTGTAAACAGCCAAGATGGAAACTCCTCAGGTGGGGTGGGCTCAGCTGTCAAAGGAAACTGAATATGATCCTGCAGCCTCAGAGCAGGCTTATTAAACTGAGTCTTGACCAAAAGAGCACTGAGAGGAGGTAGTGCTCATTACCCAGCTACCAGCTAGGGTGTCCCCATGGCATATATGACCTATCTACCAGCTGCTGAAGCAGAAACATAATGCAGCAAGCATTGCTATGCCAGTGGAGAGGAGCATGGGGACAGATGTAGGACAAGACATGGAGCTGGGACAAGTTGATCAAGGCAGTATGAAAGATTAGGTTCATGGATAATATTGCTGTTTGGAAGTTTTAGTGTCATTTGGTACAGAGCACCCTTAGAGCCACAGCACTGCTGTTGCTTTGGAGTATGTCCCTCCTGAGCCATCCAAAACATGACTGAACTGATCCCAGAACCAACTGGACACCATATTTTGTAGATGCACCTCAGATGGTCATCCTGCCAGATTCCTGCCCATCAACTGGATTACTTAATTGTTTCCTGGAAGAGGGACATGTCTCTAATACTTGTGAAGCCTTTTCTCAAGTCTTTGACTTAGGTTGTTTGGTCCTACAAAAATGTATTAACAATAAATAATGAACGTTAAAAAAACACACTCATTCTGTTGCTGATTTTAGTTTTCCTAGGAAAGTAGATGCTTACTAGATGGAGTGGTGGTACGGTGCTGAGCCCAGGCTGTGCACCAGACAGGATGCTAACACATGCAGGTCAACACCCAGAAGTAATTTTCCTGCTTGCCTCTGTCTGTACCCCTTCAGCATGACAAGGTTGGTGTTTAAACAGTGGTCACACAGTCTTTCTCAGAATCTTGTAAAGTACTTTTACTTCTCTTGACCCAAGTAGTAAGTCAGTACTTTGGAATGTGTTGTGTGTGTCGGTATCAAACCTGAGAGAGACTGTGCACATGAAAATTGTTTAAAGAGCAGCTTTTTTAATTATTTACAAAATGCATATTCAAAGGCCTCTTTCCACAGCTGTACCAAGAACAATTTCCAAGAGGCAATTTCCATTTCTGAATTCCAAAGCCCACTTCTAAGCAATACAACGCTGAGAAAGCTTTCCCTTCTCTTATCTTGAGGCTGCATGAGTAGCGTTTCTCAAGGTGTAGTTTCCAAATCCCACATAAATCCATGGAGCCACTGTGGCAGGCGGTGGTCCTGTTGTCCCACCAGTGCTGGTACAACTATGGGCTTGGCTGGATTATGGACCTGACTGATGTAAACTAATCATTTGTTGCAAGATTAATGTGCAGCTGGACCGATGCCCTTGTCTGTCATACAGCAGTATGCCCGCGGGAGTACGAGTGTCCACACCTGCCGCCATCTCTCAGCAACGGCACACTCTTACATCAGTTTATGCTGAGCATTAAACCTCACCCTGAGGCAATTTCTCGACTGTTCTATCTCTAATTCACAGAAAAATGCTGTCCTGGGCTTGGACTCCCTGCCCTCCACGCTTATGTCCGGTTTCGTCTGCGGATGCTGATGTTTTCCACTATCATTAGACGAAGTGGCATTTAGCGGCTGTTTCTTAGCCTGAATGAAAGGCATCATCAGCCTTAGTCACGTTAACTACCCATAGACCCAAGGCGTATTATAAACCACTTAAATTTCTAGCACCGTGTAATTGCACAGTCCGTTTCACACACATGCTTGTAAAAATGCACGGGGTGAAGGGCTGGGAAGCCCATCTCTCACAGGGATGATGGATAGAAAAACAGGACAGCACATAAGCCGTCGGTTACGCATACAGATCAGGGATGGCAGCAGAGCTCTGCCCGTTATGCACGTTTTCAGGGGTTCTGCACACTTGCTCTCGATGTGCAAAGCAGTCGGGGTTTGTACACGTGAACAAAGCCGCTCTCCGTTCTGCAAACCGCACACGAGAAACATCCACCATCGAGGCGCGGACGCACTTTGAAGGCCAGGGTCTCGGGGGCCGCCACAGCCACCGAGCAGCCCCACGACCGCCGCTGCTCCTGCAGCGGATCGAAAAATAAAACCGGGCCGGCAGCTGCCCCCCCCTTCTCCTCCCTCCGCGGGAAGGCCCCGACTCCCGCCAGCTCTGCGGGCCCTCCCCTCAGCAGCCGCCTACAGCCGGCGCAGGGAGGGGAGCGCCGCTCCCTCGCGAGAGGTGCAGCTCGGCGCAGCCCCGCCCCGCCTCGCCTCGGCTCGCCTCGGCTCGCCTCGCCGCCGGGCCGCGGGCGGGCTGTCGGGGGAGGGCCGGCGGGCGCGCAGCGCGGCGGGCAGCCATGATGGTGGGTCTCGGGGCGGTCGCGGTGCCGGGGCGGGCGCGGGCGGCTGGGTCGCTAACCTGTGCGCTTTGTCTCTCCCCGCACCGTCCCGCTGCTGGCCGTGCCCCTCCGCGTCCCCCCGGCCCGCTCCGCCTCCTCCTCCCCTTCGCCCCCAGCAGGAAGGCTCGGACGACGGCCCGGATTTCCTCTCGGAGGAGGACCGAGGTGTAAGTGCCGCGGAGAGGCGTTGGGGACCCCGGTGCCTGGGGGCTGGGGCGGGTGAGGGCGGGTTGGCCCCTTTCCCCGGGGCCCGGTCGCTGCTGCCCGGCCCGAGCTCACTGTTTGGTTCCCGGAGGGAGGCGGGATGCTTGGCGGAGGCAGGCAGCCGGGGCACGGGGTGTGTGTCTCCCGGGGTCTGCGGACGTGGGGCTAGCACGGCCTCCCTCTGGATCTGGTGTCCATGTGTCTTGCCGTGAATTTTTCATTGTTCTGTCACCCAAGTTTTGGAAGGGCAGTTCTTCCGTGCTTCTGTGCGGCTGGCTTGGGAGGGGATGTTATGTCTGTGCTGGAGATTCACGTCCCCTCTCCGTGTCCTTGCCTGCTCTGATGTGGGCCCTCTCCCTCTGCACACCCCCAGGTTGTCCGGTCCTCCTGACCAGGCTGACCAGCCTGGTGGAGAGCACCAGGTTCCATCTTTATTCGTGAGCCAGGGCCTGTGTGAAATAGCCCTGCCCTCTCTTCTGTCTTTAGGCCCTAGAGGCTCTCCCATAGATAACAATGGGACATTTACAGGCACACACTGCATAATAAACTCTTTATTGGAAAGAAGTTCTGTCACTGGGACAGGATGCTACGATTATGTTCCTTACTGAGAAAACCTTTTCTCTGCCCTGCTGTTTCTGGCCTTCATTTCTCTTCCGACTGCTGCATCCATCTTTCTTTAACTTGTCTGCCTTATTTAAGCAACAAATCAGCTAATCGAGTATAACTTACTCAGACTGATTGCCCCTCTTGGTTAGAATATTAAGAAAGAATGACCGAGCAAGGTAGGAGAGCAGCTTCTGGGTTGCCTAGGCTGTTGCATCTAGTACATTGCTAAAAATACAAAATCTGAAAAAACACTATGTTGGTATATCCTGTTGTCAGGCATGCCATACTCAAGCATCAAATATAATGTTAAGTATTAAGCATTTTTTGACTGTATGTATGTGGTAGGAATTCAGTGTGTTTTATGTTCAGCTTATGGCCAGAAATTAGAAAAGGAATTCAAGTATCGTGTTAGGCCAGTTCAAACCACTGTAGAGCTTTTGTCTTTAATTATACAGATACTTAATAAGAATACTGGATGAAAAGAGAGAAAGAGGAAATTGTTTTGAGCATCTTCAGAGCAAGGCCGGAGTGGTATTTTACATAGGTCATCCCCGGGGTGTAGGAACAGACACTGAAGTGCACAGTTAGGTTGTCTTTTTACCTGAAGGTACAGGTAGAAGATAACAACGCAGATCTGGTCCTGTGTGAAACCTGTGTTTGTTTGGTGAGTTGTTAGTTTTCCCTCTAAGGCTGTGGGTAGTCAGAGTTCACAAGGTACTTTGAAAGCCTTAAGAAATTTCTTAGCAGCCTTGTTTGTGCTGTTGGACAACTTACATCATCTCAGTTGGCCAAGTGCAGCTCTTCATTTTCCTTCCCCTCCCCCATCTTCATCCAGCACTGAGGAATTAAACGAGAGCAGTGTCCTCCTCCTTTCACTATTTTTTTTAGGTTGCTTATTTTCAGTCACTGGGGTTTTAATTTTCTCACTGCTGTGTAAATCCCTGGGGTTAAAACACAGGGTATTTGCATGATTTTGATAACAGAACATCTAATCAAAAGCAATACTGTCAATCTGTTAATGAATGGAGTTGCTGTACTTCAATCTTCAAAACAGTAACTTTTTCTTAGCAGTAGTAAAAATAAGCAACTCTTCATAAAGTGTTTCCCTCATTCTGATTTGTTGCCTTTCTCTATTTGCAATTAAAAAAGGAGCAGGTCACGCCTTTATTTGAAGGCATGGATGGCAAGTTCTGGTTAGAGTAATAGAACAAGTATTCTTTCCTCTCTAGAATTCAGATATTGCTATGATCATATGCTTCTGATTCTTCAGAATCATTTTGGTCAGCTACGGTTGTGTTAAGTTTAACGTGGAGCAGTGGGATAGAAGGTGGGCTGGAAATTATGCTGATGCCACATAGAACAGTAATTCTCAAACAATTGTATGATACCATATGGAGCCTTTTTGGAGAATTGTCAGAGCACTGAGAATCATCTTTGAGGAAGTAGCAGTGGGTGGTCTGTAGAAGGAATTTACTATAAATGGTCTGCATAAAATGAACTTGCTGGAGTTGCTTTTCTGAATCTCACTTAGGAAGATACTATTGAGTTTGCTTGGAGTAACTGTTCCTGTTGGGGGTTTTTTATGCTCTCTCTACTGTAAACAATACATGCTTTGAAAGGTGGTATAGTGTTGCTCTACTGGTATTGTCCTGTGTATTTTATATAGATGTAAACTTAAGCCGACTTGGCTAATGCTCTTGTCTAGTCATTCAGGGAAAACGAGCTACCCCCTTGGAATAGGTCTGCTAGGAACTTAAAGTGAAGACACTGTAATCTCTTGTTGTAAAAGTATTGTTTGTTTCCTTGCCTTATGGTATTTATCTGCCTGTAAAGAACCCACTGAAGGAAGAGTCCTTTTTCTCTTAACAGTTTTAAAAGAACTTAGAGTACAAAAGTTACTGTTGTTAATGGATGACATTACCTAGGAATGTAGGGTTTGATTGTTTCCCTTGTCTCTACGAGCTTCCTTTCATTACCATTTGAAGTGTAATTGATGCTTGAGCAAGAGCTAAATCTTCTCCCTGCATTGTTCTTTTAGTACTCTAACATTGCTTAGCCCTTGGCTTCTTGTGTTTTCAAGACTCTGAATAAAACTGAGACTTTCTTGGTATTGCATAGGAAAGCGTAAAGCACCTAAATTAAGTTAGCTTTTGTTTTGCGAGTTGTTCAGCATGGGTGTAGAGTACTAGCATCTAAGCATAAAATTACTGTGGTGTTGTATGTATTAGTTTGGGAGAGAGGGGCAAGATACAAAGGGACTGTATCCCACCTCCATTTTTTTCTTGAATTTAAGGTACTTCCATTTCAGTTTTCATCCAGATCGGATTTTTCACCTAGATCAGGTTTTGTAGCTTTTTTTTTTTTTTTCATTTTCTATTCTGTGACTGGAAAACCATGGTGGCGGTTTTCTTGTGGAAGCAGATGAAGAGATTGCTTAAGTTTGTTGTGTGATGATGTTGTTTGTGAATTTAATTGCTGGTAATACAGTGTGAACCATTGTGTCACATGAATACATATAAAGTCTTTCAACTTTCTGATTGTCTTTGACACCTTTCATAAATGCTTCATTACCATTGCAGATGAAAAGGTTCCCTGTTGGCAGTCAGGCTACACAGCATAATTTAACATATGATTAGACTCTTCAAAACTGTTACAAACGTAACTAGTATGAATCAAACAAATAGTTCTTTACAGTTGTATGTCATGAGTGAAGTTGTCATGTTTTGGTTCTAATTTTCTCAGCACTGGTAAGCACGTTGTTTCTGGAGTTGTGAATAGTGCATATGGCCAGGGTGCACTGCGCTAGAGACTGCATACACGCTAGTGACAAACTCAAACAGCTGTTACACTGAAACTTAGAATTTTGTGTTGTACCACTTTTTTAAAAAGGCGGAAAAAAAGCGCATTTGAGTAGAAACTTTTGTGACCTGTGAAAGACTAGAAAATCTTTTTGGATAATCCAGTTTATTTGCTGAGATTATTAGGCTAATGTATCGTGGGGGACTGGTGAAAAACAGTACCTCAGACAGTGTGGCTACTAAAAACTTTTTTGCAAGCTGAAAAATGTGGTGTCATGACATAAGGCAGACATTGGTATGTCAGATTATATTTTTCTTTCCTAAATTAGATGGTAAGCACATTGGAAACTCAGTAGGAGCTAGGAGATTCTGCCTCTCAGAAGTGATCTGCAAGGGATCGTCGCATGATAATATGCCTTTGTGTGAGGCTGTGACCCGCTAAACCTTGGAAGAACAAAACAAAAAGCGATGCCTGAATCACATGTCCGAATATGTTACTGCGCAGTGGTTTTAATGATTTCCAACTTTGTTGTTAGGAAAAGCTATAACTATTTGTGTAATAGCTATTGAACTGTTATATTTTGCTAGTTTAGCAGCATATGCTAGACTGTATGATTTTGGTTTTACTTTAATACATTAATTCTAAAATATGCTAGTCTGGTTGCTGCTACATAAGCATTGAGGTTAACAAGAAAACTAGAATGGGTGCTGACCACTGTGATTTAAGATAAGGGTTAAGATAACTGGTGGAAAACAAGATGTGACAGTTGATGCTTCTCTCCTAGTGCTGTTCAGTGCCTTGCAGTTACCTTCTAAATCTACTTGTTTGTAACCTTTGTACTCTGTGTTGCTGATACTTAAAGAAAGCATTTTTGTACTTGAGTATCAACTTCAAAATGCAGTCCTGAGAATGCTTGTGAGGAAAAAGTCTTTGTCCTTGTATATCAAAGTATTTTTATGCTGTAGAATGTAATGTAGAATTTCTAAGAAAATTGCAGCACAGAATAAAACACAGGGTCTCAGTAAGGAGTAGGCCTCATGAGCATGGCATTGAAACTTTTTTTGACACTCATTGGAGAAGATTTCAGAGTTAGCCTTACTACTTATAACAATATTCTGAATGTCTGTTGATCATGATGGTGAAATCGTCATGGGACACACTGCTCTAGAACAGTGAGGAGGGTGCAAAGGTGAGGGGACTCAAATTCCTGGTTGGGGTCTAGATGAGATTAGTTTCACCAAATACTGTTGAAGCCTTTTGTCCAGTTGCTGCCAAACATTGCAGTGTTCAGTCATCTTCAAATTTTTCTGTATTTGACCATTGTCTCTCTCTTTTTTTTCTTTTTTTCCCAATGTGACTTCAGAATTATTCTGTGAGACAGTTCAGGTTTCATGTCTTGTGGAAGAAAAAGTGTGTATTCCTTTCATTTTTGCCATTACTCATGGTGTTTTTGAAGAGACTGAAATCTTAGTTTTAGTTGTTTGTGTGTTGGAGTGTTTTTTCTCTGTGTGTGGGTTTTGATGGGTTTTCAATTCCTGCCCCCCCCCCCGAGAAATATTTCCAGAGAGATTTAGGTCTGTGAAGTTCAGGGATTTTTGTTTTTTTTAAGCTTTTTCAGTATGTCATGGGAAATGTTAAACAAAAGAATAGTGTTAAGACAGTGTGAGTAAACCATGTCTTTAGTAGCTCTTGCTTCTTTGGAATATTGGACCACTTTTATCCCATAATTACCTTTACAAGTACGTTTATTTACAGCAGTTTGTCAGTTTGGGAGAGTAGGGGGAATGAAGAGAGAAATAAATAAAAACACCTTCTGAACTTGCTGCTGTCTGTATGTATACTTTGACCATATCATTACTAGCAAGTTAACGACACACAGAAATAAAAATAGTGTACTAACAAGGAGTATGGTAAAGGAAATTGCTTGTATTGTCATTTTTGTTAAAATTAAGCTAAAGAGGTTTTTCTTTTTTTAGCTTAGAGCAATAAATGTAGATCTCCAGACTGATGCTGCTCTGCAAGTGGATATCTCAGATGCACTCAGTGAGAGGGACAAAGTGAAATTCACTGTCCATACAAAGGTAAAAGCTTGGGTTTGTACACTGAACAGCTTCTTAGTTATATAGAAAAGAAAGTTTCTTTATGTATTGAAACAAATGTAGCACAATCCAGATGAAGTGAAAAGGTAGGTTTACGTCCTGTTTAAGAGACTCTGTAGCTGCAGTGCTAAAGTTGACTAAAATTTAAGGGGTTAAAAAACTGTTTAGAAAAAAATGTCATTCCAGTTTCTGTATTGTTACATTGTCATGCCATTCCCATGCTTATAAATTGGCCTGATTGCAGGTAGAATCTTTATCTCAATATACTTCAGTGTAGGGGTTTTTTTGTTTGTTTAGCTGTGGTTTCAGATATTAAAATGTATTTCATAATGGAATTACATGCAAGAGTAATTTTTAGTTACTGCTTTTTTAATGGCTTTTCTTTCTTAGATTTGAATGTTTATTGATTGCAGAATCACAAAATAGTTGAATAAAATTTCTGGAGATCATTTAGTCTCATCTCCTCCCTCCCTCCCACCACTAAATTGAGTGAACCAGAGCTCATTGCCCAGAACTTGTCCATTTGGGTTATGAATATCTCTGAGGGTGGAGACTCTATAACCTCTTTGGGCAGCTCATTCCAATTGACTGCTGCACTAATAAAGATGGGGGTAATTACTGTTTTATGAACTTTGCTTTTGGTCAAATCAATACTTGGATGATTGGGTTATTTTTATTTTTACAGGGATATTCTGTTGCTCCTTTAGGGTGCTTTTCCTGTAGTAATGGAAAACTTTTCATTATTCTTCTTCCTTTTTCCTTTCTAGAGTTCCTTACCAAATTTCAAACAAAATGAATTTTCTGTTGTCCGGCAACATGAAGAGTTTATTTGGCTTCATGATTCTTTTGTTGAAAATGAGGACTATGCTGGCTATATTGTAAGTATTACAGTTCTTTTGGTTTATGTGCACTGTTTTCTGTGGGCTGTATCTGAAGTACTTGTGGCTGCTTTTAAATGCTATGGAAATGGCAGATGTTCATTCCTTCTAAAATCAGATGAGATGCTCTAATACTTCATTTTATGCAGTTACACAAAATTAACGGTTGAAGCAAGGTTGGAGGAAAGTTAATGTAGTTGTCATACTTTCTTGCCTTTTTTCTCCAAAGGACTGAGTAGTTTAATCTGTATCCAAGTATATCTTCAGTCCACCATGCTAAAATTGTGGGGGATAGGTGAACTGTATAACTTGGTGGTATTGTTTTTGCAAGCTAATGTTTAACCTAGTTTCAAGTTTCATGTTGCCTTTGTTTTAGCTGAAATGGCAGAGTACAGTAACTGAGCTCTAGTAATTACATTTTTCCAGTTTTCATGATGAAGATCAGAATCATTTTACCATAAATCAGTTGAAGGGGAAAAAAAAAAAAAGCAGGGCAAATACCATCTAGAACTACAGAGAACCTTAATACACAACTGAACAATTTATGGTTTGAAGTTTATTTCAGGCCTCCAGGGAGCAGAGGTCACAAAATAGCCACCTTACAATGTTACAATGCTACCTATTAAAAATGAGTGCTGCTGTTCACACTTTAATTACAAATAGTAATTTTTGTCATCTTTATGTGAAAGTTAGGTATTAATTTTGTTTTGGGGAGAGCATGTCTACTGATTCACAAGGTAAACATATTTCTAATTGACATGGGGGTACATTATGATGAATATAACCTGTGATGTGTCATACCATTCTCGAGCTAGTCTTTTTTTAGTCAGAAAGACTAGACCTTCAGTGTGGCAATAACTAGTTTCAGACAATTGGCTTCACTGATGCCAGATTTATTTTTTTTTGTAAGGTGTTAATGTAATGGACAGATAGGGGTGACATGAAATTTAAGCATAGTTTAACTTTGTTCCATGTCCCTTTTCTTTCAGCAATTGAGGATTAGTTTGAATGCAGTGTTTTCTTTTTCAATCTTAATATACTGTATTACAAGATTAACATAGAGACTTTTTTACTGTGTGCTTTGTTATTTCAACAGATGTATCTTTAATGTCAACAGTGCTGCAAGAAAGATCTAGTGCCTGCAAACAATATGGAATGGGTTTTTTGGTTTAAAGTTTTGGGGGTTTATAAATGGATGGTGTGGAAACAGTTGTGAATTTATTTTTATTTTTTTCTTTAAACAAGAAATATTCTTACCAAATAAGCTAAACCAAAACCAAGTAAAAAAATAATGATTTCAAGGTTTAGTTTGTTGTCATGAGAAAGCTAGGTATCTAGGTATTACTTAGTTTCTCTAATTATTAAACCATTGAAGCCAAGAGTACATTAATAAAATATTAACTGACACTTTCTTAATCTTCAAGAACACTTGGCCAAAATTGGTATAGTAATGCAGCATGTCTAACTCATGAATGAAGTACTTTATCCATGTATGCTGTAATGAGTGACAAAAAAGAGCGCCATGTATTAAAAAGCTGCAGGCAATCTACAGTTCCTGTACTGAATGGGTGTTGTTTGACTGAGAAGAGCAATTAAAAGAAAATTGATTCAATTCCAGATTCCACCAGCACCACCCAGGCCTGACTTTGATGCCTCAAGGGAGAAATTGCAGAAACTTGGAGAAGGGGAAGGATCGATGACTAAAGAAGAATTCACCAAGATGAAACAAGAACTGGAGGCGTATGTAAACTTGATTACTACTTTATTCTCTTTTTTCCTGTATCTCTCAATTTTTAATGCTGTCTGCTATTTCATATTTTTGATTTTACTATAATGGTTCTCTGTGAGTTACAGGCTTGAGAATCCAGTTGCTACGTAACCAGGGTTATCTTAGTGATCATGATCAGAGCCATTAGGAAAATTGTAGAAATTTCATGGAAGATCTTCTGAAGCAGGAAAAAAAAATCAGGCTATTCTTGAGCATTCTTTTATAAGAAAAAGGCTAGTTAGATCCCTTTCTTCACAGAATATATGCAAAGGGAGGAGGTAACCTCTGTCTTAGTTCTGGTGTTCCACAGTTTATAAGCAGAGTGAGACTTTAAGGTTTATACATGTAGTGACTGAAGTAGGGAGTTTTGGATGCAGTTGGTACTGTAAATGTGGATGCCAACTTTCTATTCCCCAAGAAATATGAAGATTACTGGAAAATACTTTTTTTTTTTTTTTTTTGTCTTCTGGCACTCCCTTTTTCTTTCTTTCTTTTTTTTTTTCTTCTCTTGGACAAGGAGAATGTACTTCCTGAAAATAGTATTTTCCTTTACTGTGAATTTAATGTGTATTGAAATACCAGCTCTAATGCTTTTTGTTTCATTCTGAGTTACACAGTGAAGTTTCTCCTTGCTTCATCCACTTTCCTTATCATGCATTCACTTCTTTGATCTTTTTCCTGTCATTGGTTTCAGTTTTCAAGTGTATATTTACACTGCTTCTAGACTACTGCTATCAAGAGCTCTGAATTGGCAAGAAAAGTACATAGAACTCTTAGAACTGCTGCTTTCTCTCCAAACTCCAGCTGCTGTGAGCAAATGTCTTAAAAAGCTCTGTTACTAGTGTTATGTACACAACATAATTTATAGCAGAGTAGATATACACTTCATATGCAGAAAACTGGAAATTAGCAAAACACTATAGATTTTAAAGAATCTGTGGTTTTCCAGCGGCCCTGATCATGATTCTCTTGTGGTCTGGTTAGGGGTTGGATAACACAGAAAACTTTGGGTTTCTTCTACTGCCACCTCCATCCTCTGCATCCTCCTTTTTTGTCTTCACTGAATGACTACTACTCTCACTGAGATCAAACATCTCCCAACACTGGCCCTGCTGGTTTGCTGGTATGTAAATCTTAACCTCCTTGCACATAGTGGAAGCAAAAGTGTTAATTATCATTTCACCGTTTGACCTCAGAATGGGGAAAGAAGCCCCTTCCTCATTTCTAGACAGGTTCTATCTTACTGAATTTCCAAAGCAAAATGAATTCTAGCAAACTTGTATTGATAAGAAAGCCTTCCCATTAAATTACAAATGCTTTAATCTTGAGTTGGCTCAGCTGGGCAACTGTGTGATTGTCATGGTTAAATGTGATTCCCCCTTTTTTTTTTTGGTTGTACCTGCCAAATGCAATACTTAATTTCGCTTTTAGAACCACTATGAAGCAAGACATTCATGTAAGCTTTGTCCCCAGAGGCTAGGTGCTTTAACATGGAATGAAAGACTTCCATCTAAACAGCTAACAAAACTACAAGAACACTTAAATAAGTAAGGAGGGTGCAAATAGGCAAGGGGATGGAGATGGGGAGGAAGGAATTTGCACATCAGATATATTGTGCCTAGTGACTGTAATCTGTATCTCAGTTTTTTTTTTGTTTTGGGGAGTTGGGGAAAGGACCATCAAACGAGGTTACACTTTCAGCAAACGTATGTTAGCTAGCCCTGAAAATCAGAATGCATTTGTTGCGCCTTCATTAAAAGCCTCTCTGTAATGTGTTCAGGCTTCTGATTTCCCACTAGTATTAACATTGTACTATTTATTTATGCATATATCAAATACTGGAGTGATAACCTCTACAACATCAGCTTATAATTTTGTAGCCTTACTGAGGATCCTTTAAAGATGCTCACTAGGCTTACCTCAAGCTTAATTGCTTTGTGTTAAATTCTTATGTCTTATCTTGTTTCTTGTTTTCAGTGAGTATTTGGCAATATTCAAGAAGACAGTTGCAATGCATGAAGTATTTTTGTGTCGTGTGGCAGCACATCCTATTTTGAGAAAGGATTTAAATTTCCATGTATTCTTGGAATATAATCAGGATGTGAGTATTGAAAACTGAATTGCTGGGAAGAGAAATCAAGATGTACTTTTATGGTAGGATGGAAAATTGATTAAAAGGGCTTTACCTCCTGGAGTAAATGGCATCAATTCCTTCATTCCAGACATACTTGTATCATAAAAGGTAGAAATTCATTTAGGCTGTATGAGTTCATTTTCCTGCCCCCTGGGGAACCAAATGCGCTATGTGCTCTAGCCTCAGCTTCAAAAATACTAATGATAATTCAGTATGTTTTGGGTTGTTTATTTTTTTGTGGGGTTGCTAACAAAACTAGAGATGATTTCTAATGAAATGTTCTGATACGTAGAGCCTTTTTGTTAATTAGGTGAAAATTTATTCCATTTTTTTTTCCTAGATATTGGACTACTGTGGGTATCTGCATGTTACATACTGAATTGCTATCTAATTTTTGAGTTAATGGAGACTTACTGGATTCATGATGATTGGTGTCAGTTAGTGATTGCTCGTATCCCGTGAGCAGTTCTTAGTTGCTTTTTAAAATTGCAGAAATTGGCATTAAATGTTGAAGAAATCATTGGAAAGACTGGCTCAACTGAATACATGCGTAACTTCAAAATATGTTACAGGGCATCCTCTTGTTTCTTGATGTAGAAATGCTTACTGGTTCAGGAACTCAGTTTACTTAAATTGGGCAAATTTAGATAGGAAGAGTCCGAGATTGAAACCAACATCTTCAGTGCACTGAGGAGTAAATGCTTTCAGAGAAAGTCAAAGATCTGCCATTTGATAAACACTGTATTACTGATAACTGAAATGTACATCTTGTACATTGGTATTATTTGTAGGTGCTAGAATGTTGCTGGGTTTTATGTTTTTTGTTGCTGTGGGTTGTTTGGGGGGGTTCTGGTGGGTTTGTTGGTGTTAATGCAGAGTGTAAGATTATCTGTTTATTATTTTTTTAAAGCTTCTGTTGCCTTCAGAAAATGATCCAACTTGATAAATGAATTTGTTTTTCAGTTGAGTGTTCGTGGGAAAAATAAGAAAGAGAAACTCGAAGACTTCTTTAAAAATATGGTTAAATCAGCAGATGGTGTCATTGTTTCAGGAGTAAAGGTGATTACTGCTTAATTTGTCGAGATTTAAAATATATTAACTTTGTTGTCCCTTTTTTAATGAAGCAGAATTTTACATAGCTACATGAAATGGATTTTTCTAGCAATGTCTAACTTAATTGTTAAGAGGCAGAGTATGGAAAGGAACCTGTAGCCCTGGATGCAAGATAAGTGAGATCTGTCTGAGGGCTTTCAGTACTCTTTCCCCTGATTTATAAAATTAAGCAATTTTTAAATCCATATAAAACTGATAATCTGGGTGTTTTTTTTTGTTCTGGCCTGTCATTTTCTATAGTTGGAAAGCTTTCCCAACTGCTGCAGCTCAGAAGTTGCTAAAACAAGTGTGCATTTTACCAGCCTTGTAACATCCTTCTACTGTTTCAAAACTAAGAGCAATGATAAAGCTGGCACTGTTTTTCCCCATAGATACAAGAATGTAATTGAGACCACAAAAAAAAGCCCCAAAAAAGAATTTTAATGAAAATTCTGTTTCATTTTGACTTTTCCAAAAGTAGAAAGATTGGTTTTGTAACACTCATAAATTCTGCGGAAGATTATTTTGATCTCCTTTCTTCCCAGTGCTAACTTTCATTTTACAAGCCAGTAAGAGAAGCTGAAGTTCCTAGTTGTAAAATCTTGAGTTTTGGAACTGCTGGATAGTTTCTGTAACTGTGAATTATGACTTGGAGGAAAATACAAAGTCCGAATAATCAGGGGCTTTCATAAGCACATTGTTCAAAGCCCATGCTGTAGGCTATTCCATGGTAATGAGCATCTGTGCTATTTTAGAAGTTTTTAAAAATAACTACAAACTAAATATCTCCAATTGTAATACAGAAAATATTAAATTTTACCTCTATTACCAACTTGAAAGAAATCTCTCATCAAGATCAGCATTCCTGAGCTAGAAGTTCATATTGTCTCTGCTGTGACTTCAGCATCTATGCAACTGGGTGTCTCTCTTTCCCCTGTCCCCCTTCCCCCACCCCCACCCCATTTTTCTAGGTAGATGTCCTTTTATTAAGTACTTGCCATTTATTGTATTTTTCTGTCATGAAAGTGGTAGTTAGCAGTTAAACTATTTCCTTCACTTCAGGTTTAGCTATTTAGACCTTTAAGACAATTGGTATGATTTCTTACTGAGTTCTTATTAAATTCTTAATAAAACTGTAGATCATAACAAAATAAATGAAGAAATCAGTTTACATAAATGGTGTTTCAAGCAGTAAAAATAGATTGCATTTCATGTCACAGCAGCAGCAATATATGCAAATTTACTCTGCAGTTGCTCTGTACAGAGTGAGTGGAATCCTGGTTTTTTTTTAAGTTGTTCTTGTTTTTTTGTAGGATGTGGATGACTTCTTTGAACATGAAAGAACATTCCTTGTAGAATATCACAACAGAGTCAAAGATGCCTCTGCCAAATCTGATAAAATGACAAGATCACATAAAAGTGAGTTCTTTCTCCAGGGTGAAAATAACGCTGGTTAAAATGTACAGAAGTGGTTCATGAGGAGTAGTATTTTTTAGGTTTTGGTTTGCTTGTAAAAAGTGAATTAATTTCTCCAAATGTAGTCTTCAAAAAGTCTGAAGAAGTTTAACCTGACTTTCAAAGTTTAGCCTTTGTTGTAATTGACTAGATGGGAGTAAGAACAGCCTGATGCAGCACTGAAGATATCTTAATGCTTCATGTTGTCCCTCTGGAAGAGAAACACACTTTCAGTAATAATATTTTTTCAAAGTCTGATTCTTAGTCTTATATGTGGAGGTCTGGAATATAGCAGTGTGTGTGATTTTACTCCCAGGGAAGTTGCTCTTAACTGGATGAGCTTGCATTCATCAGAGCGCAATTTCTTGCCACACTAAGCATTGCATTACCTTACTGAGCAACAAATTCCTATTTGGGCTATTAGTTCTAGACCGGGAAGTCAGATTTCCGTTTTTCAGCTTTTTAGAATGGAGATGGGAATGTGTACATGCAATAGCTTGATTTCCGTAACCCCTTTTCTTACTGAGGCAAGATTTTCCACTTAGCTTCCTGAGCTGAGTGCTAGCTAATGTGATTTCTGGAAGCTCAAGATAGTCCTCTAAAGTGCAGTGCATTTATTTGCAAAAATGGAAAGTCTTTGTTTTAGGATTACTGTGTTTGGTTTAGGATTACAGTGGTTTGAGAAGCTTGGAAAGAAGCTGACCTTTATTGCCCTTGACTTTGAGCTTTTAGTGTCAATAAATCAGAATTGAACAACTACTAGATTCCATCTACTTTCTTGAAAGTTGTGTCTGATTCATAGATTCCATCTTTGCTATCTATGGTAACACAGTTCACACAAAACCAGGCTGCAAACCTTTTGTGAGACTTCATTGGTAAGGACTCTAAATGGATAGTGAATGAGACATTAAACCAAGAATTTGCAGAGCTCTTCAGATGTTTCTCTTGCTATTTCTCATTCATGAAGAATGAGTCTTCTGTAGCTTTAGTGTTTATGTTAGGAGATGGAGAGAGTCATTTATGGCTTAATGAATTACTAAGGGACCCTGTGTCTTCATTCAGTTCCCACCCAGTGTGGCTTCTGGTGTATTGTTTGCTTTCTTGAAATGAAAACTGAACTTCATTCATGGTAGGTAGGTACCAGACTTCAGGTGGTGAGTGTTTCATGTTGGTTGTAGAACCAGGAAAATGGTTAGAAATTAGGTTGTAGAGGATGTGATGGGAAAGGATTGATCAAACTCGTGACAAAGCTGCACTGGTTTTCAAGCTCAAATCATCTAGGATGTTTACTGGTAACTTCTATCAAATTGCAAATTGAGAGAAAGGGCCCCTTTAGAAATTCTGGCTAGTGGAGTAGAGCAATGACTGGGAAACCTGTTTTGGAAATGGGCAACCTGTAGTAAAGATGTAGTAAAAAAAAAACCCATGTAAGTATGGATAACTTACTGACAGAGAGCTGCAGGGCTTGCAAATACTAGCTTCCTATTTCCAGCAGAAAATCTATTTTTACATTTAAATGGGAGGAATAGAACGGGAGATTAACGGCTTCCTAATACCATTCTGCACTGTAACCAGCTTCACTGATTCCCTTGGGATCTATGGAGTAATGAATTGGGAGGCAGGAGACCCACTCAATCTGTTAAAGCAAGGTTGTGTTATTTAAAAAAAAAAATAAATTTTTGCTTGAAGGCATATAAACTTCAAAAATAAGAAGCCAATGTATTTTCCTGTTCATTGCTTGGATCTGTTAACGTTTTCATCGTCCACTGAGTTTATACTAAGAGCTTTTCAAAAAAGCTGTCTGTGCAAAGATTTTATGTTTATGATTACTGTATAGTAATACCTCACTAGTCAAGTTATGCAGCTTTCTTTATGAACCCTGCTTCTAATTTCATTGTTTAAAATGCTTTAATGTTATTTCAAACAGTGATCACTTTTTCATGAGGTAAGGGTTTTCTGGAAATGAGGTATGCACTAGAAAGTGTTGTGCATGCAGCACTGTATTGTGGTAGTTAGGAGTCTGTATTCAGTTTACTGCTGTCAAGCACACAGACTTACTCTTCATTATTGTTGGACAGTGGTTATTTTTTTTGAATAGTTTTAGACTTCAGATTCAGATTTAAATTCAGACTTTAGCCAATGAGTTTGTCCATCTTCCACCAAAATAAAACCTAACTAAGTTGCACATAAATTTACCCAGGAGGTACTAGTTGTATTAAATACTCCTAAATAAATTACAGACTTCACTGTTCAATGGGGGCGCCATGTTTGTTGTGTGAAGTTATTATTCATAATAAATTACATGATTGGAATTTTACTTCTGCTCTTGTGTTATAGCATGTTCCTTTTAGGAAAATATCTCTGCCTGAAGAAAGAGAGCAACTTCAAAATTTTCAGAGAGAGGAGGAATGAAATAGTAAAACTAGTGCTTACTTGTTTTTCTAGATGTGGCGGATGACTATAATAGAATTGGTTCTTCATTATACGCATTAGGAACACAGGACTCCACAGATATATGCAAGTAAGATATTGTTAATAACTTATGGGGGAATTTGCTAAGTAGCAGTCTAAATGGTGGCCTGCTGGGATCAGTAGTTCTCATGTTATGAGAAATCCAGAATTTATTATGGTTATATCACATGAAGAGATTTTCTTCTCTAGTATTTTTTTTTTCTGTAAAGGCTGCTTTAATATTTTTGCTTTACTCTTTGTCTGGAAAAAAAATGCTGGTTTTTGCAGTTTGTAGAAAATAACACAGATGAGATGGAAAAGTCCTCATAGAACAAGAAAAAGAAAAACCAAACAACAACTCACCAGATTTTTTTTTTCCTAAACGTTTTAAGTGCTTCTACATGTGCAGCAAGAACAGATCTTGGGCTGAGTACACTGACTTTTTGTGGGTGTTTCCTGCACCAACATCTTGAAAAATAGTTTTGCTCTTCTGGCAACTTTACTGCAACTTTCTTGGAAAAGAAAGGGATCTACACAGAGTAGTAGAACTCTAAAAATAGAAGAGGGTCTCTATGTACAGATGTTCGTCCTTTTATCTCTCAGTGGTTTACCCGAGTATGAACTTTGAACATTTATCTGAAAGTAAAACTTGGTTCACTAGCTTAAAGATGCTGATGCTTGTGAATGTATATTCTTAGTAGAGTCAGTGTGATGACAGGAGATTGGTATGAAAGGTATCTAACTTATTTTCAGTAATTTACCTGAATTACCATGATACAGTTCCAGATCTGGTGATAGCTTACATACCAATTACTTTGATGGCAGTACTGAGATTTGATGGGGTCTGTTAGGAATTGTGTCTGACTTGTATTGAAACAGTATGATTTGACTGTAATTGAGTCTGCTGTCACACTGAACCCTTGTATTGCCTCCTGTGATAACGATGTGCCACATTGTTGCTCAGCCTCCCTGAATTCCAAGTTGGGTGTGCGTCATGTTTCCTGCATGCAGAAAAGCACGTTCAAATCTAAGTGAAGGACACTTGATAATAGCATAGGACCATTAACCAGTGTGGTGGTGATTGGGGTTTCATTTGCAAAAGCATAAAGAATCCCTGAGGAGCTGTGCAATTATTCTTTGGTAAAAAACATCCATCCCTTATGCTTTTTGTCCCTTTTCTTAGTTGTACAATTCCCAGATGTTTGAAGCACTACAATTTGAAACCATTATGTTCTCTGAGTTCTGTGAATTACAATTCTGAGCAGTGCTTTTACAGACTTTATTGCCAGATGCAGATTATATTTTGAGTTCTAGAAAGTAATTAGGCTATTGAAATTAATGTTGTAATATAAGCTGTTTCCTTTATGCAGGTTTTTTCTGAAGGTATCAGAGTTATTTGACAAAACAAGGGTATGTACTATGAAACCTTTTTAGATAATTTTTTTGTGTATGTCCTGCAAGTGGCAGGACATCTTGTGTCAACTAGATGTTAATATGTGGATGTCTTATGGATGCTTCTATATGAAGCATTTAAGCAGTGTGTGGTAGGGGGTGAAAAAGCATAAGATTTCAGTCATACATTTTGTAAGATGATTGGTCTTTAGGACTCTTCAGACTACTGCACTTTCTAAACAGTCTTCCTGTCTTATATGTAATACACTAGTAAAGCTGCTGTTCCTTTAAAATGCTTCAATACTTGTTATTGGTTTCAAAACTTGTTACTGAGTTATCACAGAACTTGCTATGGAAGAAAAAGAAAATCAGGAATGTAATCCTTAATCAAAAAAATGGTAGTCATGCTGCTTTTTTTTCTGGAGCTAAGATCTGTTTCTGCAGTTCTTTGACTCAAAAATACTATTGCTGATGCTCCTAACTAGATTTTCAAATATCTTATTTATTTTGCCTTATTTGCTTGGCTTAGTAGAGCAGGAGATGCATGCCATGTATCAGGAAGACTTTCAAATAAATAAATGTGTGCATTTCCTAAACACAAGCAATTGTACCTGTATAAGTACATACTTTAAAGAAAATGAAGTTAACAGAATTATTTGCTTTGACCTAAAATGTTGCCTTTTTGATTAAAAAATGTACTTGCAGACTCTGTTTCTAAATTCACAGAAATGTGTTTCAAATAAAAGCAAATAAATGGTCCAAGAGACCAATGAACTTAATACACACAGTTACACAACTAGTCTGCAAAGGTGCCTTAAAAATTTGTTTTCCTTTGATCTCAAAAACAACACAACTTCTTGTGCAACTCTTTGTACTAGGTAAGGTTTTTGTTTCTCTGCTGTCTTTCTAGTATTTGATATGTACAGTTGAAATTTGGAGGAAAGCATTCATTAAAATAGCCAGTTGTCAGTTACTGCTCGTATGGTTGTTTTTTGCTTACATTTTAATACAAAATCATAATACTGCCTCTCATGATGCATTTTTTTAAGTACTCTGTCACAAATGCATCATCTTGGTTTTTGAAAAAGTTAATCTGTCATGTATTATTGTATATTTTATTTACATCATACAGGTGAATACCCAAGGTCTGGATGTTTTTAAATTGATGCTTTTACTTATTGTTTTTCCAGAAAATAGAGGCCCGGGTATCTGCTGATGAAGACCTTAAACTTTCTGATCTTCTGAAATACTACCTAAGGGAATCTCAAGCTGCTAAGGTGAATTTATGGGCTTTTGTTCAGTGCAATAGTATTTATTAAAAAAAAAAAAAAAGGGGGAGGGGGTAGAGATAAGGGATCATCCTGAGAAATGCACAGTAGGTAGGTTAAAATGCTACCACCACTAGCCTGCAATTTATCCCTCAAGTGTAAAACCTATATCTGTGTTGTATATAAGGAGTAACAATGCATTTGCTGACTGTGGGACCGCTTGGAACTGTGTGATCCACTTATCAATGCCAAATTGTGCAGTATAATTAAAAACAATGGAAGAGCTGTTGGTGAATTTTTCATGTGTTTGCTGCTTGTAGACTGTAAGCAATTTATTTTTTTTTTTAATATTAAAAGTGGATGTTCCAGATGATGTGCAAGTGCTGATACAAAAACACATGGGCCAAAATTGATATTCTGTACCTACATAAAATTTGATTCTTAATGCTATTTGATGTAAGATAATTAAGTAATATGACAGAATTAGGAAGCATTTGACAGAAAATTTGTGTAGTTGGAAGATCACAGTAATAACTGTTGCACAAAAAATGCTACTACTATTTCTTGGGCCCTGTGTATATTTCAAATACATAATCTAAATGTAGTTGGTTTCTAATCTAAGAAGCTGTGAAATTTCCCGTGATTGGCCTTTCTTAGGCTCTTTGGGGTATCATCTAAGCCATCTGTTGCTAGCCTCTGTCAGGCAAGATGTAGACCAAACAATGTTGCATGTCTCATTCGGTATGGACATTGCTGTGACTTGCAGGATAAAATAAAGTGAATGCAGGTAATTCACTAGGAGCTGAAATACAGCAAGAAAGACTAAAATTAATCTGGTATTTTCATGTATATATATATATATATTCAGTATATACTAAAAATCCTTGGGTAGATTCTTGTAAATTCTATATAACCTTTATGTGCTTTTTTTTTTGTAGGATCTCTTATATAGAAGATCTAGGTCACTAGTGGATTATGAAAATGCTAATAAGGCATTGGATAAAGCAAGGGCAAAAAATAAAGATGTACTGCAAGCTGAAACTACTCAGCAAATATGCTGTCAGAAATTTGAGAAAATTTCTGAATCTGCAAAGCAAGGTACTTGGTGGTCTTTGATTGTATGTCACTAGTTGAAAATTAACAGATTTTAGAATATGGTTAGTGAGAATAAATTGTTGTTCTGTTTCCTAAGCAGAGCTATTATCTTTCAGTCAGTATTTGCTTATTTTAGGAAGGTGAAATAATGCTTTCCTTTGGCTCCTCATAGCACCATTAGGCAGAGCAAAGTCTAGGTGTAGATTATTTATTAACCACTTTTTTAATTTATTTTGGTAGTATTTATGCATGGGATAGGATACAAAATGGTAATTGCTAGCAGTAATGGCAAACCTCATCTTTTAATGTATCATTGAAATTCCCGTTTTGGTTTTATGCATTCTACTGCGAAGGCAGCAGTCTGTCACAGAGATGATACTACATACATGATAAAATGCTACTACATGATAAAAAAGGGAGAGACATGAAATGAGATTTCACTGAAGTTGCAGATTTACAGTGGCTCTAGAGAAAAGGAACCTTATTTACGTGTTGCCCTTTTCCTGAGAACTTATTCTTTTCTTTTTTTTAGGTTGAAATTGTTTTGAATTAGTGGTCATCTAGCTCATTAATTACAGTATCACAGTATGCTAGAGATTGGAAGGGACCTCGAAAGATCATCTAGTCCAATCCCCCTGCCGGAGCAGGAACACCTAGATAAGGTTACACAGGAATGTGTCCAGGCGGGTTTTGAATGTCTCCAGGGAAGGAGACTCCACAACCTCCCTGGGCAGCCTGTTCCAGTGTTCCCGTCACCCTCACTGAGAAGAAGTTTCTTCTCAAGTTTAAGTGGAACCTCTGGTGTTCCAGTTTGTACCCATTACCCCTTGTCCTATCATTGTTTGCCACTGAGTAGAGCCTGGCTCCATCCTCGTGACACTCCCCCTTTATATATTTATAGGCACTTATAAGGTCACCCCTCAGTCTCCTCTTCTCCAAACTATAGAGACCCAGCTCCCTCAGTCTTTCCTCATAAGGGAGATGCTCCACTCCCTTAATCATCTTAGTTGCCCTGCGCTGGACTCTCTCCAGCAGCTCCCTGTCCTTCTTGAACTGAGGGGCCCAGAACTGGACACAATATTCCAGATGGGGTCTCACCAGGGCAGAGTAGAGGGGAAGGAGGACCTCTCTCGACCTACTAACCACCCCCCTTCTAATACACCCCAGGATGCCATTGGCCTTCTTGGCCACAAGGGCACAGTGCTGGCTCATGGTCATCCTGTCGTCCACTAGGACCCCCAGGTCCCTCTCCCCTACACTGCTCTCTTAACATGTCGTTTCCCAACCTATACTGGAACCTGGGGTTGTTCCTGCCCAGATGCAGGACTCTACACTTTCCCTTGTTATATTTCATCCAGTTATTCCCTGCCCAACTCTCCAGCCTGTCCAGGTCTCGCTGGATGGCAGCACAGCCTTCTGGCATGTCAGCCACTCCTCCCAGCTTAGTGTCATCAGCAAACTTGCTGATAGTACACTCGATTCCCTCATCTAAATCGTTGATGAATATATTAAATAATACCGGTCCCAGTACTGACCCTTGAGGCACTCCACTAGTTACAGGCCTCCAACTAGACTCCGCCCCATAGACTACAACTCTCTGGCTTCTCTCCTTCAGCCAGTTCGCAGTCCACCTCACTACCTGATCATCCAGTCCACACTTCCTCAATTTAGCTGTGAGGATGCTGTGGGAGACTGTGTCAAATGCTTTGCTGAAGTCAAGGTAGACCACATCCACCACTCTGCCATCATCCATCCACCGTGTTATTTCCTCATAAAAGGCTAAGAGATTGGTCAAACATGATTTCCCCTTGGTGAAGCCATGTTGACTGCCCCTCATAACCCTCTTATCCTTGATATGCCTTAAGATGGCACCAAGGATAAGGTGTTCCATCACTTTCCCAGGGATGGAGGTGAGGCTGACCGCTCTATAGTTACCCGGGTCCTCCTTCTTGCCCTTTTTGAAGACCGGAGTGACATTTGCTTTCCTCCAGTCCTCAGGCACCTCTCCCGTTTCCCAAGACTTGGTAAAGATGATGGCGAGTGGTCTAGCAATGACTTCCGCCAGTTCCCTCAGCACCCGCGGATGCATCCCATCTGGACCCATGGATTTATGGATGTCCAGATTGCTCAACTGATCTCTAACCCATTCCTCATCGACTAAGGCAAACCGCTCCGTTGACCTGGCTTCATCTAAGGTCTCAGGGGTACAGGGCTCTTCAGGACTGCCTGCAGCAGAGTAGACAGAGACAAAGAAGGCATTCAGTAACTCTGCCATCTCTGTATCTTCTGTCACCAGGGCACCCATCCCGTTCATCAGTGGGCCTACATTGCCTCTGGTGTTAGTTTTGTCTGCCATGTATTTGAAAAAGCTCTTTTTGCTGTCCTTGACCCTTCTCGCCAGGTTTAATTCTAAGGATGCCTTAGTCCTCCTAGCTGTCTTCCTACATCCTCTAGGAGCAGCCTTATATTCCTCCCAAGTGGCCAGCCCCTCCTTCCATGACCTGTAAACTCTCCTCTTCCACTTGAGCATACCCAGCAATTCCCTATTTAGCCACGCAGGTCTCTTGGCCCTCTTCCTTGACTTCCTACGTGTCGGGATGCTCCGATCTTGAGCTCGGAAAAAGCAGTCCTTGAATATCAACCAACTATCTTGGGCCCCTTTACCTTCAAGCAGCCTTGCCCATGGGATTTCCCCTAGCAATTGCTTGAAAAGGCCAAAGTTTGCCCTGCTAAAGTCCAGGGTTGAAATTCTACTTGCTATTCTACTAGTCCTACCACACAAGATCCTGAACTTCACCATCTCGTGGTCGCTGCAACCAAGGCAGCCCTCAACCCTTACTGCTTCAACCAGACCCTCCTTGTTAGTGAAGATGAGATCCAGCATCGCTCCTCTCCTGATCGGCTCATCCACCATTTGCAGGAGGAAGTTATCATCCACACACTGGAGGAACCTCCTGGACTGCGGCTGGGTTGCCGAGTGGTCCTTCCAGCAAACATCAGGGAAGTTAAAATCCCCCACGACGACCACGGCCTGTGACTGTGAGGCTGCTCTCAGCTGCCTGTAGAAGGCCTCGTCAACTTCCTCACCCTGATCTGGGGGTCTGTAACAGACACCCACAAAAGTATCACCCCTGCCAGCCTGCCCCTTAATTCTCACCCACAGACTCTCAACTCGCTCGTCATCTGTCCCTGGACAGAACTCGGTGCATTGTAGTTCCTCCCGCACATAAAGAGCAACCCCACCACCCTTCCTGGCTGGCCTGTCTTTCCTGAAAAGGACATAGCCCTCCATGACTATGTTCCAGTCATGTGAGCTGCCCCACCACGTCTCTGTAATTGCCACCAGATCACAGTCTCCTGACTTAACACAGGTTTCCAACTCCTCCTGCTTATTTCCCATGCTGCGCGCATTGGTGTACAGACATTCCAGGGAGCGAGCTGAGCACACCGATTTCACCCTAGGATTATAGGAGGCCTCCCAGTCTTCATTAATTCTGGAGTGCTGCCCCACTGGGGCAAGCCCAGCTACAACCCCATCCCCCTTCGAATCTAGTTTAAAGCTCTCCAAATGAGCCCTGCTAATTCATGCCCCACCATCTTTTTGCCTCTGTGAGACAAACCTTTCTCACTTGTCATTGTCCAGACTGGTGCCCTATAAAACCAGCTGTTATCAAAGAATCCAAAGCCCTGCCTGTAGCACCAGTCTCGAAGCCAATTGTTCATGAACTGAATCTTCCCATTCCTTCCCACATCATCAGTGGAAGATGGAAGGAGTGAGGAGAAGATCACTTGAGCCCCAGACTCTTTCACCATCCGCCCCAAGGCCCTGTAGTCTTTCTTCATCCCCCTCAGACTGCGGGAAGCAGCTTCCTCCCCACCTGTCTGGAAGACCAGCAGCGGGTAGTAGTCTGTCGGGTGCACCAGGTTGGGGAGCGCCCTGGTGATATCCCTGATCCAGGCTCCAGGCAGACTACACACTTCCCTATGATGAGGGTCAACTCTGCATATCGGGCCCTCTGTTCCTTTCAGAAGGGAATCCCCTACTACAATGACCCTTCTTTCTTTCTTATCAGAGGCAGTCTTGAGGTGCAAAGTCGACCGCCTTTTCCTATGTGGCCTTGTAGGCTGGCCTTGCCCCACATCCTCACCTACCTCTCCTTCAAGATCCAGGGCCTCGAACCTGTTACGGAGGGACACCTGGGGAAGCAGGGCAGGAAGGGGGGAGGGTTTCCCACGACGCCGAACTGGAACTCGCTTCCAACCCTCGTCGTCTTTTTGGTCCCCTACCTCTGTGCAACAGCTACAGGGCAGGGGCTGTCTCGGGCCATCCCCCTCTGTGTGAGAAGGCAGGGGGTCCTTCCCCTTTTGGGGGGTATCTCCCTGGAACCGTTCCAACTGGCACGCCAGGGAGTTACTCCACCAGTCGATCTCCCTTTCACACTCCCTGATAGTCCTCAGCGTCTCAACCTCCTCCTTAAGTCTTGCCACCAGGCTAAGCAGATCTTCTACCTGCTCACACCTCACGCAGGTGCAATGCTGTCCTCCCTCCCCCGGCAGCAGCAGGCTCTGGCACTCCCTGCACCCAGGGACCTGAACAGCCACGGTTTGGGACGGGGTCTCTAATTGTGGCAGGTTTGTTAAAGGCTTAAACACCATGCTGTTCTGTTTTTATCATTTAAGTGGTGTTTGACCCTGTAAGTCTGACTAATGGTTCCTATAAATGAGACAGTGGAGAATGAGTGATCCTGTTAACCACAAAAGTGTATGCATAAAGCATATGTGCTAATTTTAGCTTAGTGTCTTCCCTAAAGACTTTTACATAAAGCCTTGGAAGAACAATGCACGTGGAATAAGAGAATTAAATGTTTAAAAGCACCCACATTACAGTCTTCTCTCAAAAGAGCTTTGTGTCCACAAAAGGTTAGCTGGAGATGAGGAACTGCAATGATGATTTGCTTTCATCCAACAATATAGCAACATCTTTAGCCTGGAGTGTGCTTGGTTTTTTCCCGTTGTTTCTCTCACCCTTTATTTATCCATCCTGAAGAAAGTCTGTCAGCAGTTCAGGGCACTAGCACAATACTGTTAATGAATACATTTTTATTTTCTACAGAACTGATAGACTTTAAGACAAGAAGAGTTGCAGCATTCAGAAAAAATCTGGTGGAACTAGCAGAACTGGAATTAAAGCATGCTAAGGTAATTGTGATCTTTTTTGGCCAGTACTTAAATTGATTTTAAATATTAAATGCTTGGATAACCAAAACGATTACATTTATTGTGTGATATGCACTTCACTTTCAGGAAGAGGAATTCAAAGTTAGGCACCATCCAGAAAGGTGGAGGAGTATTCTTGAATAAGGGGGGCGGTGGGGAAGTACATAGGTGAAATATCTCTGAGGGACTGGTGTGCTTGAGGTGCCTTTGGAAGACTCATCTCCTTGAAGACAGTTTTGGTTTCAGTTTTATGTTTGTCTAGCTGTTTTGATACTTATAGAGGCAAAGTTTGAATACCCGCCTATTTTTAAAACCCCATCTTGCCCATTTTACTGTGAGATAAGAAGTGGTTTCTCCTGTTATCCAGATGTTGGGGACTTGGTGTATAGGATAGCCTAACTATTAAGTATTGAGATCACACAGGAAATATCTGAAGTCAGATCAATGTTACTCTGTTTTTTGAACCTTTTTGCCTTTGAACTATAAAATGCTAACAAAAGAGGAATGTTGCAGATAGCCTTTTCAGTAAAATAAATTTTTGCAGGAAAAAACTTAAGGGGCATGTACTGTCCTTAAATTTCACAATATATTTGATTCTTCTAATCCATATGAAATTACTGGTTTTGGCTAAATGGGGTTAACTGCTCTGGTTTCATAGGCAAGTACAACAGTCTGTTACTTTGACAGTCTTATACCAGGAGGCGGCTTTCTTTTAAAAAGGAAGTTTTTTAGCATTTCTCATTATTATCACAAATCTGAAAGTGTGTTGACTACCAGGCTTTGAATTAACTCAGAATGTATCTGTTAAAAGGACTAGGTAAGAGTGTCTAGTGTTGCTGAGTTAATTTGTTACTGCTTCCCACTCCTTTCAGCAGTGTTGGCAGTGTCATTCTTCATTCTGCCAAACCCATTGTTTGTAAAATCAATGCACTATATAAAGGTTTCTTTGGGGGACATTTTTTTATCTTTGTAAGTATAAGGTCAGCTTGATGGGATGTTTTGTGGGTAATCAATAAGGTTTGGAATACTTTAAACCCTGAGAAAGGAATAATGTGCTATATCAGAAATTCAGCTGTATTTCCCCTGCCGTTTTAAAACTTCTCGTAATACTTGGCAATGTTCGGCCTTCCTACTTCTGTGTGTGTAACAGTTCTTTATCCAGCCCTGAGTCTTCCAGAAATCCCCGTGTCTGGTCATGAAGGTACCAGTTATGTGTTTTAGTGAAATTAATAGTCCTAACAGTCATACTTGCAACAGTTTTTATTGATTTGCTGTATGCTGTATCATGCTTTAATAAGGGAACGAATCCACACCACTTAGGTCTTACTTCAGTTACTGACTCTTCATCATCTCTTGTAACTGACCCTTGCTGAAGTTCCTGTGTGCCCTCAAGGAGAATGTTTTAACAATGTCTCTATCTTCTAAATTATCCTTAAAGAATCACTGTATTAAATTTCTGTACAAGTCAAAATCTTGTAGCAATATTCTCTTGAATTTTGACAGCCAATAACTGTGGAAGGCAGAGGGAAAATGATTAGTTTCTGTAGCTTTTAACTTCCTTGATGCATGCTTCCTGATGTCCTTAGTTTACCTGGAAGAGCTTGAACTTTTTTTTAGCCATTCTTCATTTGTCACCACAGTCCATGTTTAAGATGGAGGTCTTTAGATAGTCTGTCCTGTCTCAGTCTGCAACTGTTAGTAAATTTACTAACGAGTATATAAGGCTATATTAGAAGTTTTGAACTGTAGTCCTGGTTTTGAAGGTGAACTTTTTCTTTTTACTGAACCTTTTCACCTACTTTGTTATGGAGCACTGTAAGATTCACTAGACAGTTTTGAGTATTTAAAGGTTTACAATATAAAAGGCCATTTGGACTAAAAGTGACGCTTTTTGAAATGTTAACAAATGTTGAATGAAAAGATATTTTGTTTCTCACTAAGTTTGAAAGTTCTGTTTTCCAAGCCTGTGTTTCATATTTATTCAAGGCAAGCTACTACAGGTAGATCACTTTGGTTGCTGTGCTTTTGTTTCTGCAGATTCTGAGTTGGGTTATTACAGAATTTACAAGTGCAATAGATCATATTTTTCAATTTTATATAATGGGAAATTTTATTATTAACACTATAACCAGTGTATTTGAGCACAGTCTTACGGATGGGTTTTTATTATTCAGTACAGAGTATTGAAGGATAAAATGGTTTGACGGAGACTTTCTGAGGTAGTTCCATGAAAGGAACAGAGAAGATATGAAAAGACTCGGGGGTTATTTTGAGGTAGCATTGTGCCCTGATGTGTGAAGAACAGTGTTAGGGGAATATGAACGTTTCTCCTTGTCCCAGAGAGGATGTTTTTATAGTTGTTGCAGTGCAAATCATGAATAGTGCTCCCACTGAAAAGAAGACAAGTGACCCTGGTTTTGGCTGGGCTAAGCTGGGGTGTTTGTAGACACCCAGTTACTCTTGCAGTAGAGTCAAAAGAGGGCTGGTAGAAGCAAAAAGAAAGCTGCTTTTTCATGTAGGTAATAAATTAAGGCAGACAAATTAAAAGCTCCCTGCTTTTAAGGTTCTGGACAAAAGACTTTGCTTGATGCTGTGGCAGTCCCTGTCTTCATGCTTTTGCAGCTACAGGAGGCAGGTGAAATTTTAGCAACCCCAAACTGGGAAGTGCTTGTCTTGTCAACAGCATGTGAAGCACAGCACTCCCAGGCTTTGCAGCATTATCTGTTACTCAGGTGTAAGTGCGCTTTCCAGCAAAAATTCTAACTGGTGAGCAGGGGCTGGGGGCAACAGATAACACTGCTGCAGGTTTTCACTGCAAGTCTTCTATTGTGGTGTTTTGTTGTTTGTTTTTTTTTTTCTGGAACAAGTACCTCCAGACTAGATGTCATGCAGAGGCATCTGTCTCTGAAGCAGTCTAGCTTCTGGACTCGGAGTTGCCTAGCACAGAAAGCATGGAGGTCAAATCTGATGCACCAGTGGGTGCTGGAACTCACCTGAGAGGCTGTCTTTGGGAAGAACTCAAATCACAACGAAGGCTGCTACATGATTTACTGTTAAAAGTTATTTGCTCTGTGCAGAAAGAACATAAATCCCAAAATGGAGATAGCTGCACCAAAAAACTCAGAATGACCAGAGTATTGGCAGAAGGTTCAGAGACACAGCTTGCATACCCTGAGCTGTGTCTGGCTGTATGGCTGTAAAAGACTGGAAGGTGATAGGGAAATCAAACTGTGTTAGTAAATCAAGGACACTGTATATCCAAATACTAAGCACACCCTCTCTGCCTAGTTACGTTTATAACACTTCCTTATAAAATACTTGCTAATATCTTCTTGTCCTTTCCTGATTGCAGCTCCGACCTTTTGAAAAAGCTAGACTGTGGGTTGACATTGCTTTAAGTTGATGCAAGTGCAGACTGCTGCCAGGAAGGATGATGATGATGCATAACTCTGTTCCTTTCACTTATGCTGGCACTATTATGTTTGCAGCTGTGTTGTAAGATGGAGCTAAAAGTTGCTCTGTTTTTTTCTGAGCTTTACTTTCAGCTTTGTTTTCACAGCATCCCTTGTGTCAGAACACACAGTTTTGGCTGGGAGGGTCTGGGATTAAAAGACGGCTGCCTTCTTAGCAGCAGCATGTACCCTAGATTTACTTAAAATAGCTGTCAGACTGCAGCTGCAGGTTCTGCTTGGTCTCTGACCTGTACTAAACAGATCGATGTTTCTTTTTCTATGGCTGATCTGTCTGATTATCCCCCTAGGTAGTGTTTAGCTTCTGTTTTACTAGCTCTGTGTTTCTTTGTGGCTTCCTGCAGCTGTAGCTAATGTAAGACATGATTAAGTGTTTTGATATTTAGTGCAAAAGCTGCATTTAAACCTATTCAGTATTTTAAATGGTTGGATTTTGTGGAAATCCTGTGTTGGACTTCATGCTCAAGAAGGGAGGTTTGATAGTTGGTGAAACTGCTAAGGCTATAATCATATACTTAAAAGCATTTGTAGCCATGGCTATACTTTTAGAATCTTTTGACATATGAATTGAAACTGAGTAAAATAGCCACTTCCCTCAAATAAAAAATTCTCTTTCCACAAATATTAGTATATATGCTCTTGCCTTTGTGGGGTTTTTTTGGAAAAAGAATTAGTTGTGCTATACTTGCAACAGATGTCTGTTTGGAACTGACAGAAGAATAGAGTAAGCAAAATCCAATGCCAAGGGATTTGGTTGTATGCTTTGTCAGTAATTCTTTCTTTCTAGCAAAGAATGTTTCTGTCACAATGGTTTTGCCAGTAGCTGTAATATGTAGAGCGTAGGAGACTGAGTTGGCAAGAAAGGTTGTTCTGAGTCTGAATTTGTAGGACTTTCTTGAGCTATGTGATGTAAGTCAAGTATATCAGATTCTGCAGCCAGAAAGAGTAATAGCTCACAGCCTCTATTTTCCTTGATTTATTTTAATTTAAAGAAGGCTGTTCTTGTGAACTTTGTTCATTTGGTCTAATCAAGATGAATGATGTGCCTGTTTGGAAAATTCCAGTAGACTGGCTGGTTGACTCTAGAAATTACTGCTGTGTAAAGGATGTCCTGGTACTATTTTTTCTTCAGGGTGCTATGTAGTGGCCTGTGAACTGCAAATATACTTCCTGCTGCTGCTGAGCTATAAAGGGATGGCCGAAAGATCACTGTCATGCTTTTGTTATAGGTAACTTGTGCGTAGTCCACAGGTGTACTTCAGACTGAGGTATTTCATTTGAAGACTGAAGACTTCAGACTGAAGTATTCCTTTTTATTCATTACAGCCAGTAATCAGCTTCAGTAACAGAGGCCTTAGATTTATGCATCCTCTACACAACAAAGATGGGCCACCAAGTCCCCATGCATTTCACATACATGGAACTTGTTCATCTCGCAGAAGCTGTTGAAGCCATAACTGAAACTGATGTCTTCTGGATAAGACCAAAAAGGATTCAGTAGGCACAACTGGGAATCTTCTGCTTTGAAGCCTTTAATTTAGTTAATTGCTTAATCTGGATTATAGGAACCTTAATGGGGAATTGAATTACTATTTCTTACCTTTCGGGCTGAGGGACAAGTGTCCTTCAGTACCACAGGTCATTTGGAATGCTTTCAGCTGAAAAAGTAAGAATGACAAATTTTTTAGTACTTGCGTAGACTGTTTATCAAGGCCTTGCAAATCACAGCTACTGATACTGTTTAATGACATGCTTTTGTCTGTTTGAAGTTTCAGATCCAAAGACTTTTTAGAAGGAAGCCATTTCTCCTGTGTACATAACTGGGCTGTTATCATAGCTGTACTGTTCATTCAGACTGTTTTGTTCCTGCATTTTATCTGAACCTGATAGGGATTACTCTTCATGCTGTCAACAGCCCAGCACTGTTGCTTACATAGAGCTTTCAGATTTGGGAACCAGTCTGATACAGCTATTTCATAAAGTTATCTAAGCATAAATGAATGCATGAAACAATGTGAATACTGGGGTGGGGGTGTGTGCTTTTTTTTTTTTTTTTTGGCAGGTTTTTTGGTTTGGTTGATTTGGTTTCGGGTTGGGGGGGGGGTGGGGTGGGTAGTTGATTGTTTCCTGGAAAATAAATCCTGTCTTACTTGTCAATCACATATGCTTAATCAACAAGGGTATCTTTTTACATGTCAGTTCTGTAAATTCATTCATAAATCTGAAGTCAGCCTGTATGTTTTTATGGTAGAATCAGAATGCTTTAAATAAGATTAAAAATTGACCTACAGGTGTCTGAAAAAAAAGGGGCAGAACTTGGCCTTAGTGATAAAGCTTAGTTAATGTTGTGATAATCGCTTAGGGAGCCTTGGCTCTAATGGCTAAACTCAACTTTGGCTAAATCACCTGGCTGAGCACGTAGATCAGTCTGTCTTTAAACAAGTCCTTGTCTTGAACAGACCTATGAGCTTAGATGGATCCTCTCCCAGTGAGGAGATCCAGAGTGCTGTGAATTGGTTAATGCTTCTTGGTGAATTCATACGAAGACTTCTGCTTTGGGAATAATATTCAAGTAACAGAGTAATGGCAATACTATGTAAAACATGAAGATTTTGTAACTTTGAACTTCATTGCTCAGAGTGTTCTGTAGTCACTAGTTTTTGTGATCAGACTAGATCTTCAGGAAGAAACATGGAAATGCTTATTTTTGAATCTTAAATTGGCTCCATTTAATTCCAAGGCACAATGCTTCTACGTTCCAAAAACTGTTTAAGATAAAAGTTCCCTGCACAAATGTCTCTACATAAGCTTAATGCCCATCAGTTCTCCTTTAGTGGTGTCATTGCTATTTGAAAACCATCTTCTTTTGTCACAAGTGTAAAAAAAGTAGGGAAATGTGGTCATGTTTTCCTTTATTTTTACAGGGTAACTTACAGCTGCTGCAGAGCTGCCTTGCTGTGTTAAATGGTGACACATAAGCTACGCTCCGTCCTCCCACTGACAAGGGCTGCCCTCCTCTGGATTTTGTTTTCATGACTTTAAATAGGCATTTACAGTTCCCTGGAGAAACATTTGACAAAGTGCATATAAAGCAAGCTCCTCCTTTCAGAAGAATTAAAACAAACACCTGAAAGTAGCTCCAGACTATATGAAGCAACAGCATACTTGTTATACATACGTATTCATGTTTATTTAATCATTATATGCTTTCATTGTTCAGAAACCAAATGCTCGTTTTTTTGTGAAAACAGCCAATATAATTATGTTCATGTTATGAATACTATAATACAGCTGCCAATCTTATTTACCTTTGTAAGTACTTTCTGAAGTTAACCATTTGAAGCACATTGTTCAAATGGCCTAAATATTACCATTAGATATTTGAATATTGTTACTATAATGGCATTGTATACACTGTCTTTGTTTGTTTGTTGTTTTTTTTTTTTCCATGTACTGATATCAAGAAACTTAATCTTTTTTTTCAATTGTGAACATTTCTTAGAAATTTTGGAGAACTTTGTGTAACCTTTGTAACTATGATTTAAAAAGGAAAGCAAATGCGTTAGTATGTTTGCCTTAACTTGTAGACTAATCCAATTATTGTAAAATAAACCATGAAATCAATGATTTTTCTAAAATTATGCAGACATTGTATCATCTGTAAGCTTAATATTTTCTAGTAAATCAGATTAATTTAATTAGCTTTTTCTCTATTCACCCTGTAAAACCATTGAGCAAGTATTGGATTGGTCTGGCACTACTCGCCCAGTAATTTCTCACTTGCATTCTCAGGTTTATCTGTTTGTCTGTGACTTTCCTATCCAGTGTACTTAAAATTGTTTCGAGCTTGGTGGCTGACTGTAATTTCTTTTGCAGAATTTCTTTGGCTTTTCAGAGAACTTCTTGGGTTTCTTTCCAGAAAGGGGAAATAAAGTAGCAGAAAGGAGTTCAGAAAATGGGTTAAGATATTGATGAAAGGTAATACTGCCGCACTTTGGTACAGGTAAGGAGCTTTGCTTGAGAACAGAAGTGAAGGTATCCAGTAAACGAGTGCCTGGAAAAGATCTCATTCTGCTAACTGGACTTAAAGCTATGAGTCTGGTTTTTATCTGTTGTATTGCTTTGTCTCTCTTAGTTGAACCATGAAACTTTTCCAAGAGGTGCTGTTCTGCTGTGTAATTTCAGGATGTTGTAAAATTAGGCTTTACTTAATGAATTGCTCTTCACAGTGGTATTCCTTGCTTCATATGAGTTTTTAGACCTTGTATGGAGCAGCAGAATTTTGGGTGAATGGGATGTTTGGAGGTGCAGATCTGTGTAAGTCAATGTCTCTGTGATTACAGACTCCCTGTACGCCCGCACAGAGGTGTGTGGTTTGGGGTTGTGTTGCTTTTTTTCCTGAACAGGGTGAACTGCACAGTGTAGTACGCTTATTACCCTGCTGCCTTGCGCATCGGAGAGTTTCAGAGGCAGAGACATTTCTTAGCTGAACATGCTGTTTGCCTTGTGCGTCGAGTTGTGTACGCATAGCCTCAGACTTTGATTACCAGTGCCCAACAGCTATTAGCAACTCACCTGCTATATATAATGTTTTCCAGCAATTGCTACTACACTAATACTGTGCTGTTCATCTTCCAAATATAACAGGTATAATTCCTAAGGAACTCATCTATAAATAGACTATAAGGGACAAAGATTACAATGTACATACAGTTAACAAAATTGTAAATATTTTAATTAGGATGTGGGAACAGTTTTTAGATTAGTCCTCGTTGTTCAGTGTGACTGGCTCATTAAATCTTTTTCAAGCCTCTTGGTATCGGGTGTGTCTCTTAAACCCCGCCTCTGTAACTGGAGAAACGGATTTAAACGCGGCCCGGGGCTGGCAGTTCCAAAAGGAAGCGCCCCCCCGGGCCGGGAGGCCGCTACCCACCGTGGGAGCAGACCGGCTGGCTCCGTGGCTGGCTGGTAACCGCTGCGGCCGACCCGCGGGACGACGCCGGTGCGGGCGGAGCTCGGCCGCCGGAAGCTGGCAGAGGCCCCGGAAGGGGCCGGGCCGGGCCTGGCTTCAGCGGTGGGCTGGTAGTGGTTGCCGCCATGAGCTGCCTACGGGAGGAGGATGACCCGTACCTGGTGGAGGAGCCCAGCGACGAGGAGCGAGCGCTCAGCAGGTGTGGGCCGCTCCCCGCTGTCGCCTGGAGTCTCCTGGCGGGGGTTTGGGGAGCGGCCGCGGGCCCGGCGGGGTGGCAGGCCCGAGCGCTGCGGTGCGCGGTGGGGCCGCCCGTGGGTCGCGGCAGGATCGATCACCGCAACGATTCTGCCGCGGTTGTCTTCCCTGAACCCGGTGTGTTTACACCTGTAACCGTGCAACCGCCAGTGTGTAAACAGCTCTCTGCTCCGACGCGGAGCCGCGCTGACCGGAGCCTCAGAGGCAGGCTGTCAGGCCGCAGCCTGAAGCTCTTCTGCATCAAAACTAGTAATAGAATATTGTAATAATATATTTCTTATAAACACATGGGCGCTTCCCAGTGCAGGCACACAGTTCAGGTGTTCGTTGTCTGTGTGACTCGGTGTTGTAACCTGTTTGTAATAATTTGGTGTGTAACCCTTACATATCTGTAGCTCAGAGGATGAGGTGGATGTGCTCTTACACGGCACTCCTGACCAGAAGCGGAAGCTGATACGGGAGTGCCTCACTGGGGAGAGCGAGTCCTCCAGTGACGATGAGTTCCAAAAGGAGATGGAAGCGGAACTGAACACCACCATGAGGACTATGGAAGGCAAATGGCAATTGCCAGAAATGGGTAAATCACGCTTAACATCCACTTGCACGTGAAATTGTCAGTTGAGTGGTGTCTGTTTAAGGTGGGCACACTTAAGGTGTGAAGTTAATTCTTGTAGCTGAAGGGTGGGGTTGAGGGGGTGGTGGCAGCTAAGTGCTGTATGAAGCCTGCAGAAAAGCCTTAAAATGGCTGATTGTGTCTGCAGAAGATATTCACCAGGTGCCATTTCAGTGAATTGAATGTTTCATAGAATGGTTTGGGATGAAAGGAACCTTAAAGACCATCTAATTCCAACCTCTTGCAGTGGGCGAGGACACCTTCCACTAGACCAGGTTGTTCAAAGCCCCAGCCAGCCTGTCCTTGAACACTGCCAGGGATAGGGCAGCCAGAAATTCTCTGATAATGCAATATATAATATCCATTCACATGATTTATTTTACACTTGCCTTTTCTAGCCAAAATAATATTAAGTCATCATAAAATGCCTGAAGTTTGCACATGTGCTTTAGAAAGATGACTGTTATCTAGAACTTAAAATTATGAAGAATGTTTGTACAGCATTTAGATTCTGATTCATCCACTCTTGACTTTAAGTACTTAAGCAAGGCACCCAGGCCAGGATCCTAGCAACTCTAAGCCCTTCTCTTTTAATCAATGGAAAAAAATCTGTGAAACAATGTGCCACAGCTGTATTTCTTCCACATGACTGAAGATCTGTGGAGTGTCTGGGACTGCATTGGTTATATGGGGCAAAGGCAGGCATATTTTATGTGGTGTCCTCAATGTCTGAAGGAGTGTACCTCAGGAGAAACCTTCCTTTGAGCTCTACCTGAGGTTCATCTCAGAGTGAGCAGCGTTGCTCCGAGAGAGCACCTGTAAATGAAATGACATAAGCAATGTGGATGATCAGGATGTGGGAGTAAACTGGGAGAGCTATTACTTAATATAACCAGATAAAGCAGAATACTTCTAGATAGAGTAACTTAAAAATGAAGGTTGGTTCTGGGCTGTATACTTGCTGTCCTTTTGTTGGGTTGTTCTTACCACTTCTCTAATTTCACAGGTACATCATCCAGTTCTGGGCAGGCTAGACCTGCTGCCACTTCAAAATACTATGATGACATTTACTTCGATTCTGATTCAGAGGATGAAGATAAAATAGGTAAATGACTGAGGAGAGGAGAGAGGAGGACATCTTTACAGTAGTACTCTCGGATGATTTACAGTCCTCTTGAGGCATTAAG